GAGCAAATATAATAGAGTAAATCTGGTGCCTATGTAGGCGTAAAGGAAGTATGAGTTTCAAGAGGAAAAGAAGAGTATCATATGAATTCTCATGGATAGTCATTATTGCATACACATTTTTATAAAAAAGTCAGTCTGGATGAGCTTCTATTTATAGATAAGAAAGAATGATTATCCTAAAAAGATTCAGAGGTAATGATTCTTGATGAGTATCAAGACGAGCCATATAATCTTGAGCTAGAAAGCAATCCTATAAATTACATTTTTAGTTTATGACATGTTTACGTCAAAAATTATATAGGCCAAGTATTTATGAAGATAGAACTGTATAATAACATAGTGATAGACTAGTCAATGTTAGCTATGAAATAGTATCAGAAGCTTACTGCTTTCTTTATTATTCTACAGAGTATACACTCTTTACTCGACTTAACACATCTGAGGAATTCACTGAAGAAATGGAAGATAAGAGATGGCATTTTGGTAAGAAAAAGAAAGCTGGTAGTCTTACAGGAGAAGAAATCATACTGGAACAATTAGAAGGAATCAATATTTATTTAAGGGGAAAATTCGTGAATATGTTGGTCATATTTGCTATAAATTTCGACCAATTTTGAGATCACAAGGACCACCAGAACCATTTTATGATGGCAACTTGAATTGTATTATAGCAGAATTATAATGACTAATAGAGTATGAAAGAATAAAGCAGGCTATAGAGTTAACGCTAGTTCGTAAAAATGCTTTTGTAAAATTTAATAAAAAGGTACGAACATCTAGCTGTACTTTAGATGATTTGCATGACCTTAAAAAGTCAGAAAAATCTGAAGGTATAGGGATGAAAATTATCATCAAAGATATTTTGGGTAATGAAATATATAATAGTGATAGGTATCTTAAATAACGAAAGCTAATAGTATTTTGTCATAATAATCACATATGGACAAGAGGTATACCTAAAATGCCTTAAATATCTTCAGTCTGTAATATGAACTATGAATGTAAAAGCGCACTTGTTTCTGCATATATAGGGTCAAAAGAGAAAAGATTAATATCAATGAAAAAAAATTGCTGAAGTCCTTATATTATTTGTCGTAAGAAACCTTCTAAGAGCTATAAGAATATAGATTGTAGGTAAGAAGATTCTAACTCATGAAGGTATTCTATATTGTAATTCTCATGAATGGAGAAAGCTAAATGATACATTTATATGTGAAAAATCGTAATCCATACCTAAAAAATTTTTATGGGAAGAGAATGTAGATATTCGTTAATAAATCGAAGATAAGTATTAATCTAATACACTAGCTTCTTCAGAAGAGCTTAAAGCTGAGTTTGATAAAGTCTTGAAATCATTAGGAGGCACCTAGTCTTATCGATTCTATTATTGACGAGAAAAAGAAAGTATTGCACTTATGCCTAGAAATATTGTAAAGATCTGATATAAATCACAGGTGAAATCAATGGTATATAATGCATCAATAGATCCTCCTTCCAAACATATTCACATAGATCTTTGTGAAGCATATCTTAGCTGTGAAGATTCAAAATAAAGCGCATTAGAAGCATTGCCTTGAGTCTGATGATATGGATTCTCAGAAAGAATATAACAACATACTTAAGTTAACAATATTAATACTATTCGTAACTTGACAGGTATTGTTCAGCTTATAGCATGAGAATTCACTCAAGACTTGCATCCATTTACAGCAAAACTTATCAGGCAACATCTGGCAGAAAAAGAAGGTTGGATACAATCCCTTAGTTGATTACTTGCTAAGTAGGAGATGGCTTATAAATGCAATTCTAAGAGAGATCATATACAGTGTAAGTAAAAAGTCCTGTATTAAGTTTCCATCAGATTATGATTTGGCTATCCACTTTGTGGGCTTATGTGCTCATAATGCATAAGTAATATCTATTTTAGTTCGAGATATAAATGAAGTAGATATATTAGTCAACTGGCTAGCAAAAATAAGTGCTGATCAATTGGACCTGAATAAAGCAAGGAACTTTAATCAAGTATGAAGATGATGAAAAGTGTAGATAATAGTTGCATATCCGTTCTTTTGTCCTTGCCTATACCTATATTACTATACTCAAACAGCTAAAACATTTTCTGATAGAAAATATATTATAAGTATGTACAGATGCCATTTATACCACAGCAATTCTCAAAACTATTTTAGATAAAACTGTTGTTAAGATAGGGCAAAAATTACTTCCCAATTTTGATGAAAGTCTCTTTGCTAAAGTGAAAAAATAGTGTAGAGTTAGAAGAAGTGCATGCAAAATATGAGGCTGAACTAGATAAAAAAAAAGCAATATGAATTAGCTATTATTTTTACTAGTCGAAATAAGGCAATTCAGACATAAAACAGTTCAGCTAAAATTTGGTTAATCAGTAATACAAATCGGACATAATTCAGCTATCAACCAAAATTCAGACATAATTGCAATTATCTGAATTATTGCCAATCTGGATTAACTTTATTAAAAAAATTCGACAGAATAAAATTCGAAAATTTGACAAAATTCGGCAGAATAAAATTCAGAAATTTATAATCTCAATAAATGTATAATAAATGTAAAAAATTTAATATAATTCAAAATAAAATTTGTAATACGAATGTTAGTGTATATTATACTTTCTATTGACTGGATTTACAGCTAAATATTCTTTTGCATTTCGACGTGCTAAAATTTGATATTTTACTGGTACAAAATGACAAAAAATATGGTAAATAGGAACAATACAATCCCTGCTAATAGGATAGAATTCAGTATCCCACAATTCAACATTACAGGTTTGATCAGCATTTTCAATACTAAAATGATATTGATTTTTTGTAGGTTTGTATCATCAAATGTATACCAAATGGTGTTTTACAAGTTCATTATCCAGGTTTACTTCATGTGGTACAATTCCTGGATAATAATCTACAGTGCCATCTTGCATTACAAATTTTATCGTAACATATGAATTTTTTGAATGATAAGCTGAGAATGTCAATCCAAAAATTTCTGATCCAATTCGACATCTACCATATTTATTTAATTTAACCTAAATTACTATAGAATCTTCTGAACCTTCTCCAAACGGCTTTTGAAACTCAAGAGATTCATATGTTACATTATAATAATTAATCATCAAGTCTTGCATTTCTTGTGAAAGCAAAACATTTTCAAAACAAGGGTTTAGCATTTCACCTAGAAATGCCTCACTCCTAGTGATTTCTGAATCTTGAATGTTTTTTGAATGTGCCAAAAATCTTTTTAATTCTTCAGAATCGAATGGATCAGTTGCTGAAAGAGAGCCAACTGAAGGCCGATTATCAAGTAATTCAAGACCTTTCGTATCAATTCCTGAAGTTATGATATTGCTGATCTTACAATTATTCATTATTCATCTCATAATTTCTGGTTTGATCTTTCGATGGCTGTTTGGTATTGAGCCTAGTATTCCGTTCATACGCTCAAATGAAAAACACCAAAATGCATATAACAGTCCATAATCATATGAGCATTCGCTCAAATGAGTTGAAAGATGAAGATTCAGAGTAATTTTATCTCTTCCATAATTTTGTTCGATTAATTTATAATTTCAATTAATCTTTGATGAACTTCATTAAGAGAATTAACTTCCACAATTCTGCTAACCGAAAGTTTGCAAATTCTTATGAAATGTACAAGAATCTTCCGATCTTTATTTTTCAAATGATCTTAAAGTGAAACCGTTGCATATATTGTGAAAAAAATATGCCATTGGTCCACAGTAAAATTTGAAAATTCTTCACCGCTATGAATTTTCCTAGAATTTGACCCAGGTCAGCCGGGATTTAGAACTGGTTCATTGTTCTTTATATTTTATTTAAAATATTTTACGTTAAAATACCTTTGTCAACCCAAATTTATTTTACGATTCATCTTGCAATGCCTAAAAATAGATAATACATGGGATCAATGATCGTAAAACAAATTGGGTCAAAATATGACAAGCGCAGTAATTCAGTCCATCTGACTCCAGTCTCTTTTACAAATCTCTATCTTGCAGCTTGCGATTTGTATTGCCGCTACTTTAAAGCATTTTGCCGATGATTGTCCAAATCCTGGGCTATAATTATATCATTCATGCTAGCGAAGTTATGTTGACGATTTTTATAGTTAGCTCTTTTCTCACAACGGTGATACAATACAAGAAATGAAATGTGATCGCAAATTTTTCGTGCAGCTGGAATATCACATAAGATAATAATTAAAGCTGCTCAAATTATTCTTCCTTCTGAATGTTCAAATGTACAGTCTAACGTTAATCCACTCTAAAGTAACTCCAGTTCATTGACGATTGGGGCCAAGTAGTGGTTTATCTTATGTAAACTTACTTCGTTTGGACCAGGCAATTTTCATGTTTGAACTGTATATCACGTGGCAGATTGCAAATTGCCGCATAGATAGCTCCTGTACTATATGCTGTACCATTATATGGCTGGAATTAATCGAGGTTCAACATGAGTCTGAGATGCGAATCTGTCATTTCAGGTTAGAAAAAATTCAATTAAACTTCATTTTAGAAATTTTTCCAGACTTGACCATTATATATATCAGCTAAAATATCATCAAAACTTGGCCAATTCATCCAATGTTAAAGAGAATTTTTAAACCCTGGCCGATTATATAATGCTATCAATTACTGGTGAATTCCAACAAATGGAAAGACTAATATAAACTTTGTTTTAATATCATTATTTGTTTGAGTTCTTTCAGATAATGAAGCTTAACATTGACGTAATCTTCGTACTTTCAAATTAGAAAATTCAACATATTAACATTTCATGATTGCATGAATTTTCTCAATACGAAATTCTTCTACTTTTTTCTTTTGATAAAGTTTATGACATTCTAGACATACCGTAAATTTTTGAAAGTTATCCTGTAAACCGAGAATTTTTCTTGCCATATATAAAGAATCGGGAAAGTCATTAAGATTAGTATAACTAACTTCAGTCAGCATTATTTTTATGAACTTTATCAATGACTCTGTTCCTGTTTCTGACAAGTTGAATCTTGTTCGAAATTTCATAATCCAGAGTAAAATCCACAAAAATCAATTATTATTGTTTGTCAATTCTGAGGAAAATGGATTTGACTCATAATAAGGAGTTGAATAATCTTCAAATTCTTCATCGTCGTTAGTTAATTCATCTTCACTTTGAGAATCATCAGTAATTACTTCTTCTTCAGTAAGTTCGACAGGTGAATCTTGTTCAAAATTACTAACAGGAGCAGGAATTTTCTTATTTGTATATCTTCTAATGCAGTTTTGAGGTAAAAAGGTTAAGGGATCATCTTGATTTTCTTCCTCTTGTCCCTTAATTTGTAAATGAATTTCATCAGGTTGTGGACTTGATCCTGATGTCAAAGTCTTCATGTTCATTATCTTCGATACTTAAATTAGGGATTTGTTGAGAAAGTTAGATGGTTCATTAGGCAGATATATTGTTGGCAAAGTAACATTTGCCAAATCATCTAAATCATCTGAATTTTGATCACTTTGATGTATTATTTCATGGATTCTTTTTGTGCGAGAGTTAACTAATCATCCATTACATTTATAATAATTACATTGTTCTAAATTATTTCTACTATGTATACTATATGATGATGATGGTGGATTTTTATTAAGGATACAAGAAGTTGATCTAATTCTACTTGAAGGTTTAGCAATAGGTCAGAAATCATCTTCGTCAAGTATAGCAGAAAATGACCTTTTTCATATCATTTTGAATTTGCGAAGTAATTTCAAAAGGTTTTGCCCTTATATAATATATATTTATTTATATTTATATATATATATATATAAATAAAAACTTTTTTCCGAAATATGTATTATATTGAAACCTTTTCAAAAAAAAATTTCTTGATATAAGATAATGAAAATATAATACATCAAAACTAATAAACTAATCAATTGATTGAATTAAAGTATCATAAGACTTTCGAATTTTTCATTAACTGATCAATGAATAAATGTAAAATATTCTATTTTTATTGTACCTTTAAGACTTTAAGACTTTCAAATTTTGCTATTTTTAGCATATCATAAGAATTTCGAATTTTTCATTAACTGATCAACGAATAAATTAAAACATTTTATTTTTATTATACTTTTAAGACTTTAAGACTTTCGAATTTTGCATTAAATTGATCATTAATATAAATGTAAAATAATCTATTTTTATCATATCATTAAGACTTTTGAATTGATCATTGATAAATGTAAAACAATCGATTTTTGTCATATAGTATATTAATCAATTGATTTTATAGGGTTAAAAGCTTATTAAAGCTTATCTGAAAGTTTAAAAAAGCTTAGTAATTTTATTATATAAAGATACTGTTTCTGCCTTCTTTTCTTCAACAATTTAACAATTTACATTTACATTTTGATATATACTTCAAGAATGACAAGACATCAAGAAAAGAAAACTCACTCTCATAAACATGCTGAATTGTAAATGACTTCTACTATTAGTGACAATAATAAAACTTGTCAATCTAATTCTGCATCTTCTTTTACTAATCCTCCTCATTCGCTTTCGAATAAAAGAATTCTTTCAAATAAAACTTCCTTGAAAACTTTCACTAGTAAAATTCTTCTAAATTCTTCTAATTCTTCTTACCAGAATAAAACTCCTCCAGTTTCTTCTAATTCTTCTCATCAGAATAAGATTTCTTCGGTTTCTGCTAATAATTCTCCTTGCAAGAATAAGACTCCTCTAGTTTTACCAACTAAAAAAATAACCGCCTTACAACTTGCAACATGATTTGGAAACATCCGACTTCCAGAATCGTTTCAAGATATTGATGACGAACAAGAGCAAAGGCAAGGAACTTTATCCTAGATGTCATACAATGAATTGTTAACAGGTATATGACCTTGCTGATTTTAATACGAATGGTTATATTGTATTTATGTGAAAGTTATTTTTCATTTAACAGAAAACAAGAATTTACAAGAGGAATTGGCAGAATTATATAATCAAAACAGTTAACTAGAAATGAAAATAGCGAAAATGGAAAGTTCTGGTGATGTAAAAGAGTTGCAAGAGGAAGTTGAACTTCTTGCTAATATTAATCAATTATTGGGGAGAGAAAATGATGACATTCGTAATAAACTGAACAGGTTTGAGAAGTATCGATTGCCCAGTTTATCTCAGGAAACTACTACTAATTTTGGATCTACTGAAGAAGATGAAGATTTACCAAAAAGAAAAAGAAGAAAGTCAAACAAACCTAAGTTGTCGAAAAAGGTCAAAGGGAAAAGAAAATGTCGTCATTCAGATGTCGAAAGCACATCAGAAAATTTGGAAGATTCTGAAAAATCTTCAAAAGAAAATGAGAAGAATGAAAGAGAGGCGAGGGTTTGTAATTTTTTTCTATTATCTGCTTTAGTGTTTATATAATAACTCATTTTTTTTAAAAAAACTCCAATATTAGATTGAGATGAAAGCAATATTAAAAGGCATTAGGAAAGATTATAACCTTAATTATGAGGACACTTTCAATAGTTCTAGGAATATAGAAATTCGTGATCAGCTCATAGAAGAATTACGAAAGGCAATGGCACTAAAATACCGCCTTTCAGTAAGTTAGCTTACCAAATGGTTAAGTTCGATCCATAAGTTGAAAAGATCACAAAAGAAACTAAAATCGACCGGAAAGATCACTGACAACTATCGCTGAATTCACAGCAACAGCAGATTAAATGACGTATATAATTCATTAAACAGTTGAAAATATTTTCTCTATAATAATAATATAATTAATCTTTCAGAAAAAATTCTGAAGAATAAAGGCTGCTAAAGATCTCTTCAGAAAAAACGACAAAAGGATAACAAAATATGAGTAGTGACCTTTATTAATGTTATTATCCGATCGCTAATTCCACTCTCCTAAAATTAGCGAATCTAACGATAATAATCAGAACGCCACAGTAATTAACGTTTATGATTACTCATGACGTTCTGAAGAGGTTTGGCATTTTTGACATTATTAGTTGTTTTTTGTTAATATCAATCAATAATAAACACGATTTTATTTGTTAACTTAAAAAGCTATTGTATGACGTATTTAACTCCCATGCGCTATTGATCCAAACAGCGCAATTGTAAAGGAATAGAAATTATGATGATAAAATTTAACATTTCGATTTACCGCATCTGACGAGTGCTTCTCGGTAGTCATATGTTAACTAAAACGACATGATTCTCAATATAGAATTTGAAAAAAATGATGCTGATGAATATGAAAGAAATGAAGAAAGAAATAAAGAAAATGAAAAAGATGATGATAAAGAAAAGGTTGAAATAATGTTGACAGGCGAAGCTCAATATTCGAATGATGATAATTAATTTTTTTTTTTTCTTTTTTTTATTTTACTCATCGAATTATTTATTTTCTGAATTTTTTTATTTTTCTGAATTTTTTTTTTATTTTATCTTTTTAATATCAAATTTTTAGACTAAATTTCTTTCCATTTACCTATCGCAGCAAATTCAACATAATTTATATAGAATAAGTGTTATTACTTTTCCTTTTTTTTTATTTTTATTTATCGAAATATTCTCTTTTTACCGTTTATTTTAGACAATTTTCTCTTTTTTTAATTTTCGATAACGATTTTTATTATATAATGTATATTTAATTTCAAAACATTATTGTAATTTTGCTTTATAAATATAGCTAAATTTTATATCTGAATTATATATGAATTTTATCTAAATTATATCCAAATTATATATAAATTATACAAATGATTGCATCTGACTATCATGACAATTTTGCCAAATTACATTCTGAATCTTGATTGAATTTCTTCTGAAGTCTATTTCTAAATTACATTCCAAATATTTTCTGAGTGGCAGCGAATGGCAGCTCTTCGGAACTATGTTTTGAAAAACCATTCAGATGATTTTATACTGTAATTCATCCTAAATTCAGACATCTGAATTCTAGCTGAATTGAACTATTTCGACTAGTGTTTAGAAATACTAGAAATTAAGTATGACTAATAGTACAAGAAAAAGGAGGGATATACTTATTGTAAAGAAGTATTGTCCTGGGTCATTAATTATAAAGGTACACTAGAAATCCCTCCAAGTGACGCATCCCTTCTTTCTATTGATTCAAAACTAATAACATTGCAAAAAGTTTATCTAGTTAGCCAAGATGATAGTGAAAAAACAATATGAACTATTTATGCATTTTCTGATCGAAAGGTTGTAGTTCTCACACTAATGAATTTGCTTACAGAATACCATAGAAAGCTATAATATACCATAACAGTCAATATACATATCATATAAGCTTGCCGATCTTAATTAGATTTCTTGTATTATTATAAATCATATAACTTAAGTATATTGCAAATAATTCAAAATTACATTTTTTATAACCAATCATAAATAATAAAGTAGGTACATAAGCATCTATTCTACTTAATATTATAATTATTTTATTTATAAAAACCTTAGTCTAACTTCTGCAAAATTTATAAAGAACGGTATATTTTGACATAAATTTGAAAGATTCTTTATTACAGTAGCAGTCATAAGTATCCGATTACTTGAGATCATCTAAAATTATTATATAACTACCCTTAAATTTTTTAGAAATATAATGTAACACAATACATGATCACCTGTAAATTTATAAGTATCAATGATACAAAAAAAAATTTAAATGATCATCAAACTTTCGCTTGAAAAATGGAACTTTCTTTAGAAAAATGATATGAAATTGTCTTTTATGTGAGCACCTAGCTGGTTCAAAGTTTAGTTTTGGATTTATTGCTAAACAGATACATTGTAGTAAGTTTACAGCTATTTATTGGATTAAAGATATCATGAAAATCAGGACCTAAGTACTTTAGAAAAACTGGAGCGACCTTGTATAACATCTGCGAAATAAGATGATAAGATTGTAAAGATGGCAGAGAAAGAACATAATATAATAGCCATCAAATACAAAAAAAAAATGAAAGAAAGAGGTGTTGGGCTTAATGTAGAAATAGTAAGGCGATGTCTTCATAAGTTTAGAGGAAAGTTTAATAATGAAATTTCTAAATTTTTACTTAAAGAAGACCATCAAAAGAAAAGATTGCAATGGGCAAAAAAACATAAGAATTTTGATTGAAATCAAGTTGTTTTTACAGATAAGAGTACATTTCAATTATATACATCAAAAAAAAGGGTTGGCAGTTTCCTAATAGAAAAAAAGTATTTTATTCTGTTAAGCATCTACCAAAAGTTCATATTTGGGGATGTTTTTTTGCTTCTGGATTTGGTAAGCTATTTTGCTTTTAGAGAAACCTTAATGCTGAATTTATGTGTATTATTTATAAGTAGAATTTTTTGGCTTCTACCTTTAAACTTTTTGGTAAAGGAAACATAGATTGGATCTTGTAAGAAAATAATGATCTAAAACATTGATTGAAAATCATGAAAAGATAGAAGAAAGAAAATGGCATTGAGGTACTTTCTTGGCCATCAATGTCTTCAGACCAAAACCCTATAGAAAACGTTTAGAAGTTAATGAAAATTAATATACAAAAAAAAATTCAATCAATTAGAGGGTTAAAGAGAGAACTTATAAAATAATGGATCTAATTATCACCTGTACTTGCTGTGAATTTAGTAGCTAGCATGAAAAGGCATACAGTTGCACTTATGGTAACTATATAATGTATTAATTTTAGTTAGTTGGTTATGTATTTTTTAAATAAAAAAAAATTTGAATTTACTTATTTGTAATCAGAGTTAGAGGCGGTCAGATACTTATGACCACTATTATAAATTAGTTTTTAATGAAAAACTTTATATTTAAGTATTTATAAAATAGCTTATTATTTTTGATTTTGTTTTTTTAGAAACCTCTTATATAACAATTCTGAGATAAGTAATATTTTATTTTTATATATAATAATAAACAAATTGCTTATCCTATATGTATATTCTAATTTATTCTTTATACACTTTGTAAAATTCTTAAACAGTACTGCTAGTAGTTATTGCTATTCTTTTTTTCCTTCAATATTAAATATGCTATTTAATTCAACTTATTCATCTGACAAGTTATTTAACATTTTCTTCATTTCTTCATTTGTTAGCTCATTTTGGTTTAAAATTAAAGATTCTAAAAGAACTTCTTCTTCTAAATTAGAAATTCTCTTAGCTTTTCATTTACATTTATATTTACATAATAATTTATTTTCTTGTGATTAATGTAATGTTATTTGATTAGATTCTTCAGCATTTGGTTGATTTAGTGATTGTGATTCTAAGGTTTGTACATGTTCTGTTTTTTTTTATTTTTTTTGTTTCTTTAAGTTTTTTTTGAAAATTTGATATCCTTAATTTAGATATACCTAATTTACTTTTTCTTGGTTGAATAAATCTTGTTTTAAGAATATCTTCATAATAAATTGCTCGTATACGAATTACTCTATCAGAAAAGCAATTTTTAAGTTGAGTTACTTCTTTAACTATTAATTGCATTCGATAAATATTTTTCTACATATTATTATTAATAAATAATTCATTTGTTTAATCAAACTCTTGAAGAAGAATTTTGACCAGATTCTACATTGAATCATATTTTTGGTTTACAGCATAATTTCCAATAGATACTGTTGGATTATTAAGGTATTCAGATAATAAAACTCCAATTCAATCTCATTCTGTTTGTGCTAATTTTATTTACATTTTTAAACTTTCAATATTAATTATATTTTCTGATATAATTTGTTTAATAAACTTCACTCCAAAAGTTTCTAATATTTCATTATAAGCAAAAAAATGTCCTTATCATCTTTTATCATGATCAATTCTAATAGAAGTTGCATAGTGTAATTTATCTTCTAACTTAAGATATTTCGCCAAAATATTAATAAATTAACACACAGAACTAGCATAACGATTTTTGGTTGCTAAAGCAAATAATTTACTAAATGCAGCTAAAGCATTTTTTTGTAAATCATAATTTCCAACTTGAATACCAACACGTTGGGCCTTAAATATTCCAGCCTATTGATAATAAAGGTATCAAATTCAAAATGCTGAATTTGTGATATTATTTTCACAAATTTCATTTTTATTAATATTTTTTTTTATATAAATTCAGATTGCTAAAGCTATAGCAGTTCATATTAATTCAAAAATATGAACAGTAGATTTATAATCAATAACAGATTCAAATTTTTCTAAAAATTTAATTCTAAGCTAATTTGCAAGATCAAAAATACCATAACTTGAAAAAAGAACAATTAGAGCATTACACATATCCTTTGATGTGTGCCATTATCCAAGAATCAGATGTAATTAGAATTATTTATTTATACATTTAACCATTCTTTGAAAAATTGCTTCATCACCAACTATATCTAAATATTCTTCTGATTTTAATTCTAAGTCTTGTTTGTATATTTGTATAGATTCAAAAATACCTTCATTTGAATTCAGAGTTCCACCAGATTCTAAAATTACTATATTTGGAGGATTTACTTTATATTCATATTCAACACAATTCAAAATTTTTTTATGTATGGTACTCATGTCAAAATTTGTTTGATAAACTGCTGTTCCTTGTGAATTTATTTTAACATTAAGAAGATCATCCAAAATAAAATCAAAGGTATTTAAAATATCTCTAATTGTTTGATTCATATCAAATAAGATTAATGAAGAATTAACATGATTTTCATCATTTACATTTTCATGCAAGTTAAAAGGCATTTAGTGTTGAAAAACCATTCTAAGTGTAGTATGTGTACTGATACATATTATGTCAAAAATGTTTCCATATCTAAAAATTACTTCTTTGAAATCTATATTATCAATAATGGGTAAATTTCAAATATTTTCATTTTGTTAAGACATTGATATAGATTTATAAATTTCATTCGATTCTTTTCTAGTCTTCTTTTTTAACTATTAGTATGTTCACTTATTTGTAAAATAGAAAAAAGATGACGAAATTGTTGAATAAGTTTTGATTTGCAACTAAGGCTTGTAAGTATTTAGATAAACCAAACTTGTAAATCTGAAAATGTAGTTCTAATTAATACTGAAACAAAAAGGTAACTATTTTCATTACTTGTTGTTTATTAAGTTGTTTTAATAGTTTTTTTTGAGATTTTAATTGAGCATTTGATATTTTTAATTTATTTTCAAAATCTCTTTACATAAACTTTCAAAAAGCCAGTTAAATATGATGGAAAAGCTGAATAATAATTTTCAAAAGATGTTGAATTTTGAATTGTATCCTTTTGTTCATTTAATTCTTTTTGTAATTTCTAAACACATTCAGCCAATTTTTTTCCTACATTAGGCCATTGTTCATCAGAAATATTTAATTCAGAAGAATGTATATTTGAAAGTTTACTCATTTTTAAAAGAATTTGAAATGCAAAAAAGGTAGATAATTGAATATTATTTAATATATTAATAAAAGTAATACTGAAAGTAGTGGAAGTAGTAGAAGTAGCAAAAGTAGTTGAAGTAGTGGAAGTAGCAGAAGTAGTGAAAATAACAGAAGTAGTGAAAGTAGTAGAAGCAGTAGAAGCAGTAGAAGTAATGAAAATAGTAGAAAATATTGGTAACTGATAATTTATATTAAAATTATCATTTTTTTTAGTACTTTTCAATAAAGATATATCTTAAAAAAAGTATAATGCAGGATTTAGTATATACATAAGGATAGTTTTTTTTATATTATTTTTATTTTTTACAATGTATAAAAGCTAATTTGCTAACACTATAAGTATTTTATTAGTATCTTCGTTATGTAGTCTAATATTCTTATAATTAAATTTAGGCTTTTCTGAACCACTTCTTCGATGAATATGTCTTCTATTAATTTTAAAACAACTGCAACATATATATCGAGAATCTGAAAATTCTACTTTAACTAACTTTGATATATTTGAAGTACACTACAACTAAATTGTCCATTATAAGCTACTTATATATTTCTATTAAAAATATTCCAAGAATGTTGATGACAATTTATTCTACGACTAAAAAAATAAAAATTTTGTTTATAAAATAAACATCTCCTTCAATGTACTATACTATGTTCTGTTTTTCTTAATTGTTTTGCATAATTAGCATGATTTTTGATCATAATTGAAACGAGACATACATATCTCTAAATTAATTTTTTTATCCAAAAATTTAGTTGCAAAATTTGTATCAATTTGCCAAGTTTCTACCAATTGAGAAATAATTTTTTTACTATCATTACCACAAGTTTGCAATTTTTTATTAACAGTATCGATAATAGCATATGGTAAAAATGGAATTGTATTTGTTACTTTATTCATAACGATAATATGTGTTTCATCTTTGCATAATTCTGGCTTAATATTGGTAGGGTTTTCTAATTCTTCTTGATCATTATAAATATTTTCATTAATATCATTATCAAAATTACATTCATCTATTTTAACAGTTCCTTGAGTAAAACTGGTAGGATGGAAAATATGAGGATATTAATCATTTTTTTGAATATCAAGAATCTGTTGCATTAAAGTTAAATTATCAACTTCAGTGTTTAATAATGTTGGATCTTCTTGACTTATTAACTGACTTAAAAATACTTTATCATATTTAAAACCATCATTATTATCTTTTAAAAATTGTTCAAAAAAGTCATTAATATTATCTGTAAGGTCTTAGTCTTTAAACTCTGATATAATTTTCATATTAAAATTGAAATTATAGTTAAAAGACTATTACAGATTGTACACTAACTTAATGCTTGAGATTCTTTATTTAAACAAAAAATATAAAAATGAGACTACCTAAAAATAAAAATTTTTACTTTTAGCTATCATAAAATATACTTAAATTATATAGTACAAAATTTATTTTTATATAAATTTATAAAAAAAGATGTCATATTTTGATAGTTTTTTATATAATCATATGAAAAATGCATTATATCAATCATTTCTATTACACTAAATAAATTATTTACTCAGCATAATTTTGATATGCACATTGACTAATAAGTATTTTTATCTAGAGACAATACCTATTAATGAGTAGGATCCTGCATGTTTTAAAAAAAAGCTTTAGCTGAAATACTTATCTTTGATAAGGCATGCATGATTCCTAAGAAGGTATTGCAGAGATTATTGTCATATACTGAAAGTTGTAGTTGCCAGAGTATTATGTATAGAGATTCAGGTCAACTTACACCATAGGTGATAAAGAAGGTCTGCATAAATTTCTTATCAAGTGGGCTGATGAAGTAATTTGATACATAAACGATTATTGTACTTATAATCCTGAATTTAAGGTATTAAAATTATGCATATGAATAAAGAATGATATGACCTAATTACAAGAATTCCATGAGGTCATACTTATAACATCATGGAAGAATGCACTTACTGAGTGGACTCCAGAAGATATTTGGATTTACTTCATAAATGATATAAGTATGCAAGTTAAAAGTGTATTAATACAGGCTCATAAGTCACGCTTTCCTAATATACCCTCAATTATCTGTTTTGATCCAGACTAAAGTATTAAACATATATATTACATTCAAGGAAAACCTATGCAAATCCTGAGTAGCAATGAAATTATCAAAGTATATATTGATATGATGATAAATATACCACTTGAGATAGTACTGTGTGGACTTTTTGCTGAATAGAAATATGCCAGCTAGAAAACAATTCATCGAATACAAAAACAGACTGTCAAGTCTCTAAAATGCTATTTTATTGTGAATCACAGTCTAGAAAGTTGGATTAATAATACTATATATACAGCCTGTAATCAAGTATGATACATGAATCAAATAATTTGAGTTAAACCATTAGACAGTATTCTTGAATATATCAAACTTACTAAACTTCAAGCAACTCCTTGTCTTTAAATTATTGAAGCAAAATTAAGATGTTATAAGCTAGATGATCGAAAAAAGAAGTGATACTTTCCAAGGCTGCTTATAATAGCTGAGGATTGGAAGGTAGATGATAAGACTGATTTAATTAAAAACATTACGGTATGTAAAATCTGCTTTATCTAGCAGAGAATGATGAGAAGAAAGCTATTCCATCAATAATACCAGAAGAGATAATTTCTATGGCATATCAGCAAAAGAAAGTTTGTAAGGTATGTTATATTTCACTCTTATTCTAAGGCTATATAAAGCGCCATCCGCAATCATTTTTGATTGATCAGATAGACAATTCTAAGGGTTATTATTTTCAGAATGTAAGACTTATCTGTCTCTAATACAATGAAAAACACCGCCATTAAAGCTAAAAAAAGAGCTGTAAGGGCTAAGCTTTCTTGATCAAAGATCTGCAAGAAAAACCAATAAAAATCCAGTTAACTTTATTAGATTTTTTTATTTGATGAAATAAATATCCAGTTAGGAAAACATAACAAAAATGATATACGTAGAATATAAAGTTTGGCATTTCTAGGAAGATGATGATATGAATCTAAAAAGTCATCATAAAGCAATAAAAGCAGAATATAAGCATTATACAGTTAAGGCATTGATTGACACAACTTCTAGCGTAAATAAAATTAGCAAAAGCTTAGCCAATAAGCTTGGAAGATGATATGAAAAGCATTATAAAAACAAAAGAGTGAAAAACTTATTAGGCATCATAGATTGCTTAGATATATCTTTCTGATACAAAGGAAAAGATAGACCGGTCTCTGATAATGATGAAGCTTTTAATGATTTTGAGGTTATTACGAAGTCAGAAAAAGCTGATCTCATATTAGGAATACCATAGTTATAGATACGTGAAGCAAAAATAAATATGTAGAAAAAAGGGATAACAGTATATGATAATTTCGTGCCATTTTACAAGTATCCAAAAAATAATGAATATTATTATTTAGAAACAGATGATTTTGATTCATCTGAGTCTGTTTCTTCTAAGTTTAGAAAGAAGGTTAAAAGTTAAAATGAACTGTAGATTGGATAGGAAGCTATTTAGAAGAGCAAACTGGTTTAAAGTCTGATAAAGAACTAATAGATTCATCCAATTCAGATTATGCGTCATCAGAAAAGAAGGTAAAATCTAGAAGGAATCTGGTCTGAGCAGTTCAATCCAACTAATTCAGAATAATAACCATCAGTTCAGAAGAATCATTTTTCTAATTGAAAGATATTCTAGCCTATAAAATTCCTTTGAATCTTTTTTCTTGTAATAGGAGAAGATCCTTTTTTAGAAAATTAGAAAGGATAATACTTCATAATTTACATACTTTGAAATAGTTAATATATTCATAAAAAATTTCTCTATAATTAATACAATTGTCATATAGGTAAAAAATAATATTATCATGAATACTGAGAATACTAATAAACTCAGCTTTCTTTTTCTGAATAATAAGCTTATATACAGCATTCTATTGATAATTTACTCTAGCACAACTCCTATAAAGATTTTTCCTACTAAGAAAGGCAAAAATAATTTTAAGTAGTTCAGGTAAAACTAGAACATTATACATATTCATTAATAATAATTAAATCAGACAAATTATCTAATAATGGCTAAAAAAAACATGTATTTTAGTCTGTAAACTTTAGCATAGACATCATGTATTATAGGTAAAGTCCTGATCTTTTATATTTATTTTTGAATAGTAAGTCACATTATCATTGTATTAATAAAAGATTTTTTTTTCTTGGTAAAGTTGCTATCAGAAGTAACGTATCGCATGAACTTTACCTCTAGTAATGGCATTCAGAAAACTATTTATTCGCATGAGATGCTAATTGCTGTGATTTGCAAGGAGGATTAACAAAATGATAAAATGCAGTATATAATGAATCACTGATCTGAGAATCATTTTTTCTTGAGAATTCAAACGCTATAAAAACTCTTTTAATAGGACTAAATTCTGCCAGTCACATGTGACTTCATAATATAATTATATTATGAAGTCACATGCAACTTATATTAGGTTATGAAATAACTCATAGTCTGCTAGTAACTTCATAATATAGTGGTAACTTCATAGTCTGCCAGTATCTTCATAATATAACAATGATTTCATATTCTACTGATAACTTCATAATCTAATTACATAATCTGGTGGTGATTTCATAATCTGATGTCACAATCTGATTGCGACTTCATAACCTACATGCGAATATCTCCTTTGTATTTATAATATTGTTTTAACTGTTTCCTGTATAATACGGTAGTAACTTCATAGTCTAATGATGGTTGTAGTACTTTAATTTAATGGTGATGTCACGATCTAATGGTGACTGCTTTCTTCTTGTTTCTGAGTCGTTTATATACTAAATTCTATAATAGGGCTGTTGACCCTCTGTAACTGTTTAGATACCTGGTTTTATGTTGAAGATGCTGGCTTCCTGCGTCTGATTGGATGCTGGATTCTATATTAGAGTTTTTCCTTTTACGCCTATTTGGTTGCCTTTCTAGGGGTTGAAGTAGTGTAAAAAAAGATGACAGATGACACGGTTAATTTGCTACCTCTATTTTCAATAACAGCCTGTCATGCAAAATTCAATACATAATTTTACGAGATGTTGTTAG